GATGGATGATGATGGATGGATGATGGATGGATGATGATGGATGGATGGATGATGGATGGATGATGGATTGATGAATGGATGATGATTGATGGATGGATGATGGATGGATGAAAGAATGGATGATGGATGGAAGAATGGATGATGGATGGATGGATGATGGATGGATGATTCATGTCAGTTGTGTTGGTTTAGTGATGGAGCAAAACGACAAGTAAAAATCTGATGAAATGCAGTGAAGAGTCTAAAGACTAGACTCCAAATTAATTAATGATTAAGATTAATTATTAATTAATTTCCCATATTTTACAATAAAGTCATTTCAACTTTAACAGACTGAATTATCACAGCAGAGTTTCGTTGAGGAGTTTCTGTCCAACCCACGGACCATCCAAGATGGAACCACGCTCAGAGAAGCTGCCTTTCCAAAGAGATGCTCTACGTCCACGTCAGGTTTTGCTGCGACGCCGTTCCTCTTCAGACGAGCCTTGTAATTTACTGCTCAATGACTCCACACAGACGTTGTAAATTACTGCCAAACGCTTGAACGGCACTCATTTTGGCCGTTCCAAAATTAAATCCAGCTATGAGAACCTGACAGGAACTCTCAGATTACAGGCTGCTGCTGCTCGGCCTGCTGAGCCAAAAAACATTATTTAAATAGAAACCAAATGCACTACAAACTAAACATGTTATTAAAAACACTAAATGCCTTTTAATTAAAAATCAATATTTATCAAACTTTTTGAACAAGAGTGGCAAATATTTGAGCAGCTCTGGTTCAGTAGAGTTGTACGTTTGACACGGATCATTTCTTCCCAGGGCGGCACGGTGGTGCAGTTGGCAGAGCTGCCGCCTCTCAGCGAGAAGGTTATTGATTCAAATCCCAGTCCCGGATATTTCTGGGTGGAGTTTGCATGTTGTCTCCGTGCTGCGTGGGTTTTCTCCAGAACTGGTTTCCTCCCACAGACCAAAAATATGCATGTTAGACTGACTGGTAACTCTAAATTGTCCCTAGGTGAGAGAGAGAGAGAATGGTTGTTTGTCTCGTTTGTCTCTGCGTCCCTTGGATGGACTGGAGACATGTCCAGGGTGTACCCCGCCTCTCGCTGGCCATGGGTATCAGTGACCCTCGCGACCCGAAAAAGATGGATGTTTCTTCCCACCGTCCCTCCTCTGGACATGTCCAAACCACTGTCCCTCCTCTGGACATGTCCAAACCACCGTCCCTCCTCTGGACATG